AATTTTGGAAGCCTTTGTTAAAGGAAAGTTTCTTTATTGCTGATAGTCAAGTACCCTGTGAGGAATGTTTTTACAAATTATAAATTGAAAAGTGTGCTGAATAAGTTTGTTGAGGAAATTAGTTTCCAAAAAATTGGTCTCTGAATGTAATGTCTGTAACATGGAATTGCCCTCATGATTCTCAGAATAAGCACACATGCAAGAAACTTCTGTTTAGTAACATTATGATGTACAACTTTTGATTAATAGTTTAATTTCGGTTCTATTCCTCATAGGGACTCAGAATTTTTTCTTTGTCACACGTTCTGACAAGACAAAAGAAACATTTTTCTTTATTTCAATATTGGAGTTGTTACACCACAAATGTTCTTTGGCAACAAAGGAGAAAAAAACATTGTAACTGTATAAATTTTGTGCATACAAACAATGTTCATTTTTGGAAACTATACAGCTTTAAAATTCATTTGTTACACCCATTTGTTTACCAGTATTTAAGCTTACCCATCACAATTGAGTGCTATTGAGGTCAAAAGGAAAAGATGTGGATGAACAAAAGAAATTTCTAGCTACATGTGCATTAGTTTTTGTTTTTCTTGAATTATTATCATTTAATTGCGTTATACTGTGTTAACTTATTATACGCTAAGCGTGACATCAATCAGACTTTTAAAACCAAAACAAAGACCAAGCATGCAAACTTGACCAAAACAAAACATAGTGTGTCCTTTATTGTTTAAAAATAATATATGCACATATTGAACATGCTAAGCATGTTGTGTTGGGGTGTTGTTTGTGTGTGTTATCACCTTTGTCCCTGAAATCATACCAAGGGTCACATTCAGTCAGCCATTGTGTATAATGGTAGTTTTTGTTGTTGTTGTTGTTGTTGTTGTTATTGTTTTTTTTATTCCAGTTGACTTTTAATAGTTATAATTAAATAAATAAAGGGGGTAAGTTTCTAAAGAGACTGTGGTGCTGCCTGTGTGGGAGAGTATATACCAGAATAATTAAGTATTATCAACTGAGTTGATAAGGTTTAAAAAAATGAAAATTTGAGTGTTAGCCCTTTGTCAGAGCAATTGGGGTAACAAATATATATAACCTTATAACCTTGGGGCACCTGTTAGTGCCCTTGTGACTGTCTTTGTCTTTCATAACTGATATGTGGTAACTGTTGTTCTGCTGCTTCACTTTTCAGACTTTCTGACTTTATCCCTGATTCAAGGGTTATTTTCTTGAACCCAGGAAACTCTATACAAGGTAGAAGGTCTTGCTGTTTTTTTTTCTCTCATTTTTGAAACTTGCCTTCATTTTGTCAATCTGTATGTATTTAATAATTTATTTGCTGGGAATAATTGTGTCCTGTTTCCATATGTTAAAATTCTGCATGCTCTCACTGCACTCATATCCATGTGAGTATTAATTATTTTGTCTGGTAATGTTATGTCAAGAACTATGCATAATATTACTTACCTAAAATGTGCAAATATTGGTAACCAGAAGTAGTTATAATATAATTATGGTATTGGTATTGGTACAGTCTTGGGTCTGGTCATGGAACTACAGGTTTTGCATGGTAATTAACCTGTAAAATGTGCACTGATTTTTACTGCTACTGATCAATCTCCTACCACAATGAAGTTACTGTGATGCTCCTTATATAGTTGATCTACTCTTGAGAGTGGTGGTGTATGATATCCTTTGGAAGCTCTGCAGTTCTATAAGTGTATGTCTGGTTTCTGTCATTATTGTAGGGCTGCAATGGCCAATAGAAGTTTCATATGAGTGTATATGGAGCTTTGCCTCAGGGCAGCTGGCAAATATTTTTTCTCTCATGTATAACTGACTTGTGGGCTGTGTTCTGCAGATTTGTATGGGTTTAGTATCTTGGTGAAGTGTTAGGGAAACCTGATTTTATGTTTAGACATTTGTCACTTGTGGTTAATCTGATAATACTTGCATGCATTATCATAAAGGAGATTTCTGACTGGTTTTGATTTATTATGCAATTGTTGGTCATTACTTATGGAGCAGTAGGTGTGTATAATCACCAGGTAGTGGTGTTGCATGGTGCTTGTGATGACTATCAAACTAGTTTATTCCCACCACAATGTTGTATAATATCAATGGTTTGTCCTTCTTGGAGTGGTGGTGGATGTGCCTCAGCAATGTTGTTAATAACTATTTTTCTAGCTTGTAATTGCTGTGGTCATTCTAGGAGTGGCCATGAAGGATGCATATGCTCAGTCTGATCATGAAATTATATACTGAATGATATGTATCTTTTTTTTCTGGTGGGCAATGAGAGATTTTATTTTCCAAACACAGCAACCCCTTCTGACTGTGTTTAGATGTTTGTTTTCCTGTATATATTGGTTAGAGGCACCTAGAAAATATGGCTTTGGCACCAGTAACAAATGGCTGGGATTGCTGCACTTAACCTTATATTGGTGGCCAGAGCTGCTTCTTACTGTTATATGTTGTAAATGTTTTAAAGTGGTGATGTATACTGAGACTGACTAGTTTATCCTGATGTCTGGGGCTTTGTTTGTGTAAAGATTAATGCACCGGGACACCAATTTGAGAGGTAAAAAGTGTCACTCTGATGCTGAGTTAATCCCTAGGTTGTTGGTGCGAAAATGCATTAATTCAGACTGAGTTCCCCTCTCTTACCCTGGAATATGGAAAAGGTCTAGTCTAACAGTTGTTTATTTTGGTAATTGACTGAATAATTAATGCCAGTGGTTGAAGACCTGCGAGCAATTTGTGACAGGGGTGACAGATTAACCTAGTAATTAATGGCCTTGCCTTGCTTACAGTTGCTGTTACTGGCTTAGTGGTGGGTGGAATCAGCTGAAGTTTTATAATTCAACTTCTTGTGGTGATTCAGATTTCTGACTTTGTCCCATGCACATGACAGGGCATAAAATATCTTTCTTCTGATAAAATAATGTTTACCAAGTTGGTAGGAAACCTCTTACTGGAATTTAGCTCCAGTTCTAGAAGTTATGTTCCTGCTGGCCACATGATAGTGCATGCTAGTGATCCCATGTGGCTTCTTTGTCATTGCAGGTTCAGTTGCAAATGGAGGTTGCATCCCCTAAATTTTTGGGATGCTGCATGTAGAACAAAGTTTTTTGTTGAGTTTCTTTTCCCTAACTGTAGTGGTAACTGCAAGTGGTGGGTTTGCTGTTAGGCACATTTTGCTGGTGGAGGTGGTAATATTATAGAGACTTTTAAATCTGTTGACTCAGACTTTTTTGTTCCATGAACTGGGACACCATATTTTGTACTGGTGCACAAGTTTCAATGACCTTGTATTGTATCAGTAACAATTAGAGTTACCTTCATGTGGCAGAATTAGTACATAACTTAAAAAAGGTGCATTTAATAACAATGACTGTGCAATCTGTTCTCAAGGGCTGTACTGATCTAATATCAATAAGCAGAGAAACCACGAATTGCCTGAGTTTTAAAAAGGCTTTTGATGTTCCCAGGTGTGATAGTGAAGTAGAAGCTGGTGAGGAAATCTACAAATTCCTTCTGAGTTGCTCCAGGAATTTTGGCACTGGAAGGGAGACCTGGTGTCAGGTTAGGTGATATACCTGTGAGGAATTGCATTTACTTTTCCATTCCACATTGAAATCTTATAGCAGACGCTAATGTCCAGTTTTATCTTCTTTTTAAGCATCGATAAACAATTCAGACGTATTTAAAGTCAATTGGTTTGCAATACGACACTCAAGGTAAGGTTACGTGCTGGGTTATGAAAGATTTCAACAGATGCTTTTATTATTAGTGAGGGAGAGGTCTTGGATTGGTAGATATCAAGAAGATGCCTGACTTAAAATATTCAAGAATATTATTACACCTTATGTCGACCTTGGTACTTAGAAGGTAGATTCCATTCCATTAAGAATCAAACGTCAACGAGCCACCAGAACTGACTAAGTTTACGGCCCCCGAGAGGAAATGAACACTCTTTTCGGTGATTCCTTTCCCCTCAAACTTTCAAATCGCGTTTCATTTTTGCTGTTTATGTCTCTGGTTGGTACTTTGTTTACTAAAAAACAAAACTCTTAATCTAAAAACTGGGTTGAAATGAAAAATCTTAGATTAAATCTCTTGTTAGGTTCTTTCGTTGGTGTTCCTTGCTCCAAAGGATTTAGAAAATGATATCACGATTTGAAACCATTCTCGGTCTCAATTGGCTATCAGGATTTTTCTTTTTTTCGAATGGGTTTGATTAGCATCACTTAATGTCAATTCTCTGTTTGACAGGTCATCCTGGAAAAGTTAGTATTATGGCTATGGCTATTTCACCATTTGCGTCTACGAAAGAGACTACCAACTATGCAAGGTTATGCCGCCTCCTGGTGGATGTTGGATCTCAGGTGCTTCGGTCCACTTTTGACACAATACATCCACCAGCGACTCTACATACAGTTTTGGGAAGTACCTCAGTGCATTACGCCACATTGCAATCACTGTACAAAGGGAAGAAGAAAGTGCTGTATCCCACGCAATGGGGAACGTTGTACCCTTCTCACGCACCTGTGTCTTCTGCAGCCTTCGATATCACACTTCTAACGGTGCTTCTTAGAAATATCTGTGGTTTGGGCCCTCCTGCCAATGGATGGGATCGTCTTCCCCCAGCTACAAACATAAGCATCGCAGATGACATCGCCAGAGTCAAGTATTACAGGAACACTGTATACGCCCATGCTTCTCAAGCCACTGTGGATGACAGTAGTTTCAGTGCTTACTGGAAAGAAGTAAGAGAAGCTCTGGTGAGACTGGGAGGAGCTCATTTGAGAGTTGAAATCGACAAACTTGAGCACGACGGCATGGATCCAGATATGGAGGAGCATTATCGTGGACTGATGAAACAATGGAAGAAAGACGACGACAGCATCAAAGACAAGCTTGAAGAAATTGAAGGTAAGAAAAGCATTGTGTACTGTCAATGAGGATGAACCAGAAGGCTACAAATGTATATATTTTCAGTTAGCACAGCAGTGCAGGCGAGCTCATGAAGTTTTCATTTCGGTCGGAACTAGTCTTATATTTGGAAGGTATTTTTGCGTCATGTGTGAAAAATGAAGAATTAGCCCCAATGTTTAAACTGTGTGTTCATTTGTAATATTTTGGTCTGTTCGGGGTACTCGTGTACAATTGCTGGACTACATTTTTGTGATTTCTAAGTGTCCTATTGAGTTTGATCTGTTCGGAATCGACTAGATATTGACATAGGTATCATTCTTTTATCTGTACGTAAACGTGAAGCTGTGATATAATTTTGCTTATGAAAATGCGCATACCTTTTGAAATTTTCAGATTCGCTGGAAAACATGAGAAGAAACTTCAGAGACGCAACTGACAAGATAGAGATTGATATGAAAGAGGTGAAAGAAAAGCTTACTAGTCTGACGGCCTCAGCTGAAAAAAGCACACAAGAAGGTTAGTTGGTAGAAAGAGCTACTCACAGAAAAAAGGTTATGAAGAGCGACACTGTTTTTTTGAGTACACGACGCAGCTCTTGTGCATGATGACGGTAATCGCTGGATGTCGGCCAACACAGCATACTTTGGTACTTTACTGGTCTAAGGGCACACCCTGGCCACCACTCGCACTTGCCATACATGAAGATATTCTATAGTGTGTGGGATGCCACGGAATGTGAGATATTCTGCCCTTGCTACCTCTCGGATTTGATGGTGTTTTGACACCACTCATACATATGTATGATCTTAGGCGAGATAGGTTATCGTTCTTTTTTTTCGTATCATCTTTCTCATAATGAATCTAATTTCCTAGTAGCGTTAGATGTGACCCACGTACTTCTCAATAAAATAACCAAATCCCTCTTCCGGTCATATTGTGTAGTATTCAATTCTACATGGGAAAATAGTTGAATTAGAATTGTCTTGAATAAAATGGGCCGGAATAAGATGCGTGTGGTTATTTTACATTTCCTGAGGAAAAGATTGCAGGCAGAACCTCCCACTCCGTTCAGCCCGGCGCACACTAGAGCTATCAGCTGAGCTGAGCGTGACTCGTGGCTGTTGGCGTAAGCTGTTTCCTCAAGTGTGCGGTGTCATGTTCTGCGATTTTTGTCACGCGTGCCATGAGCTCAGAATATTCAACATGTTGAATAATTTCGTGCACGAGTGAACATTGACTCACAGTGTGCGCGCGTTTTGAGCTATCAGCTCAGGAATCAATGCGAACGCGCATGCGTCCTTGCCATGTTTTATTGAAGTCAAGATGGCCGATGTCGGTGAAAATCTAGATTCAAGCTCGTCGGAGGATGAAGAGGTTTTGCTTTCCCTTTTAATGCTGCGACGAAGACGAAGACGCTTGAGAACAGCTAACCGAAAGACGTGGGTAAAATCTTGGGTCTCACGCCGCCAAACCCAAGGGGCATGTGCAAATATTGTTCGCGAATTGAATTATGAAGATCCAGAAAAATTCAGACAATATCACCGACTAGAAAGAACTTCATTTGAAGAAATTTTTTAGCGTTGATATCCCCGTTGTTAAAACATGGCAAAGACGCATGCGCGTTCGCATTGATTCCTGAGCTGGTAGCTCAAAACGCGCGCACACTGTGAGTCAATGTTCACTCGTGCACGAAATTATTCAACATGTTGAATATTCTGAGCTCATGGCACGCGTGACAAAAATCGCAGAACATGACACCGCACACTTGAGGAAACAGCTTACGCCAACAGCCACGAGTGACGCTCAGCTCAGCTGATAGCTCTAGTGTGCGCCGGGCTTTACAGACGGGTCTCTAGGTTTCGTTTGCGTTTTTTTTTTTTTTTTTGCCCAATAAAACACAGCAGTATAGTATAACTCATAATGTTTTCATTTTGGTTGGAACTAGTCACATATTTGGAACGTTAGTCCAGCGTTATGTGTGAAAAATTAAGAATTAACCCAAATGTCCACCGTGTGTTTTCATTGGCAGTATTTTTGTCTGTTCGTGGGTACTCGTGTACAATTGCTGGAGTGCATTTTTGTGATTTCTAAGCGTCTTATTGAGCTTGATCCCTTCGGAATTGAGTAGATATTGACATAGGTGTCATTGTTTATCTGCACGTTAATGTGAATTTGTGAGGTAATTATGCTTATGAAATTGCGCTTATCTTTCTTACCAATGCAGATTCGCTAAATGACCTCAGAGATACAACTGAGAAGATGGAGATTGAAATGAAGGAGGTTAAAGAGACGCTTTGTAGCCTGACGACCACAGTGGAGAAAAGCACAGATGAAGGTTGGTTGCTAGAAATAGTTACTCACAGATAAACTGAACTATCAACAGGGATTCCGTTAACTTGAGTACAAAACACATCTTTTGAGCATGACCACATTATTCGCTAGATGTCGGCTAATTTAACACTTTTCAGGTAATGTATTGTTGTAAGAGCACATCTTGGTTACTAAGATAAACCTACTCTGGCTACAAATGAAGATACCAGGTAATGTGTGGGATGAATGGGATGGCACGGAATCTCAGGCTACCTCTCAGATTGGATAGCTTTCTGACAGCACTCATGCACATTTGGCCGAGAAGGGTTATTGCCTTATTTTAGTTTTACTTTTGTTAAGGACATAACGAATCTAACTTCCTAATTCGTTACATTTTACCTGCATATTCTTGAACAGAGCAATGCAATCCTTTCTCCACTTAAATTTTTTGTAGAGTATTCCACTTTACATGGAAAATATTGCTGAATGAGGGCTGTGTTAATAAAAAGGGGCAGGAGAAGGCGTATGTGGTTATTTTAATTGTCCCGAGCGAAAAACTGTGAACGAAACTTCACAATGCATTGCAGGCGGACCTCTGGTTTGTGTCAGCGTTTTCCTTTTTCTATGAGTAAACGAAGTGAAAACGAGGGCGGAAAAGCGTTCTTTGGTTTTTTTAAATTAGTTCTTACAATGTTGCTTTTTACCGACAAAAATCTTACTCAGACTATCGACTCTAATGATATCAATATTTATCTCCCGAGTTTCACTATCAGAAACCGCCGAAGCCGAGCCATAAGTTTTTTTCGAATGTTGTATAAAATTTAAAAAAATAACAACAACAACAGAGGAAGGGAAAAGGATCTATTTAGTTAACTTTTAATGAATAAAGTGACTCTCACTCGGACTAAAAATTCCGATGTTATTCCACGAAAGGGTCTTTTGAGAAAATGATTGGCGAAATGGAAAAGATGGATAGCGAACTGAAAGAAGTGAAGGAAAAGCTGTGTACTTTGACAGCCTCAGTGGGAGAAAGCAAGGATGAAGGTCAGTTGAATTATACAATAAAAGTCATCCTGCTTAATCGCAAATTTCGCCGTAGTCAACATGGCCTGTATGTGAGAGAGGGAGAGATCATCCAATGTGAAAGGGCTTCGGTTTTTTAATTTAGACAATCTCTGGAATAGTCTGCGGTGTACTTTCATTCCCTCCAATTGTTCAAACTTTCACCCGTAATTAGCCTGGAAAACTTTATATTTTGATTAGAGTGGAGAACGAAATAAAACGAAGTACAGTTTTAACGAAAACATTGGCATTAAGTTCGGCTCGATGCTAGAAATTAACAGAGCAGGTTCCACTGCATTTAGTCAGTAAATTGACATGAATCATACATTTATAACTTTTTCATCGTCCAAGTAATTTCTTTGGAAGTGGTGTCGTACCCGTTCACTAATTTAAATTCAGTGCCGAATACCAGTAGCATTAGATGTAATCCGCATATTTCTAAATAAAATAACTAAACCCTTCCTGCGCTCATATTGTGGAGTATTCAATTCTACATGGGAAAATAGTTGAATGAGGATCGTCTTGAGTAAAATAGGTTCCTTAGGAAAAGACTGTAGGAAAAACCTCCCACTTCATCGCGAGCCCCCGGTTTTCTGCAGCACTTTTGATGAAACCGCGTGACAAAGAAGGCACAAAGGCGTTGTTTAGTTTCCATTTATTTGTTCGTAGTCTCGGTATATCCCGAAAAAGCCTTTCTCAGACTACGGCTCCAATGATATGAATATTTATCTCCCGAGTGATTTATTTTACGACAGAGTTTCACTGTCAGACACCCTTAAAGCCGAACAAACAGAGTAGGTTTACCTGAATTCATAATCTAAATGGCTTTTAATCAGTAAGCATGAATCATACACTAAAACCTTTTTGCATCGTCCAAGTAATTTCTTTGGCAACGGTATCGTACTCATTCACTTATTTAAATCCAGTGCCGAATACCAGAGAGGCACCACAATTTTTAATGCAGCATTCATCAGATTTCTTACTTATTTTGCTACTGCTAGGTATTTTTGATCCAACTGAGCTTATCAGTGGAATTCGCCAGCTGTACAAGACTCGCGAGGGATGGCTCTCACCATTTCCATGGTGTGAAGAGTTTCAGTTTTTTCTTGGAAATATTTTTACAAGGCTCAAAGTGGTCAGAAGAAAGAAAACGAGAGGAGAAATCACTGAAGTATTTGTTGAGATGTCGTCAATACTAGACCCGTATGAAGATTGTTCAGCGCCGAGAACAGTGTTGATTGAAGGAGAACCTGGTATGGGAAAAACCACCTATTGTAAAAAGTACGCTTACGACTGGGCCACAAAACAGAGAGAGCCTCAGGGCTGCGGCTCAACAGCATTTAAAGTGGTATTGTTGCTGAAATGTCGAGATATCCATTCTGACGTTTGGGAAGCCATTGATGATCAGCTGCTGCCCCGAGACATCGATGAAGAAGTCAAACAACAATTCTTTCAGTTCATTCGTGAAAATCAGTCCAGCATTTTATTGATATTGGATGGATTGGATGAGTTACCATCCGGCAAATTGTCGATGTTTTCCGAATTAATTGAAGGAAGAGTACTCTCCAGATGCCACATAGTTGCAACAGCAAGACACGAAGTTGGAAAAGAGGTGAGAAAAAGTTGTGAGGCGCTGCTTCAGATCGAAGGATTCACTGAAAACCATGTGATAGAATTTGTCACCAAGTACTTTAAAGAAAGGACGGATTTAGCCATCAAGCTCTCGCAACGGATGTCGCGAGATAAAAACCTGAGAGAAATAGCGGCCAATCCTCTAAACACAGCACTTCTTTGCCTTTTATGCGAAGAGTTTGAGGGCAAACTCCCCGAAAGCAGAGCTCAACTGTACTTGGGTATGGTTGAATGTGTTTTGAGAAGATATAGAAAAAAGAAGGGACTATTAGAAAAGATCGAAGACCTGACAAACCATTACAAACCGCAATTGAATCACCTTGGAAAGGTAGCGTGGAATGGTTTACTTGACCATAAGTTGGATTTTAATGAAAGTGAAGTGAGAAACCATGCAAAAGACCTGACTGAATTTGGATTTCTGTCAGTGCAGCCTGGTGGCAGCAAACTGAGACAAACACTGCATTATGCCTTCTTACATAAAAGTTTTCAAGAATTCTTTGCAGCATTCTTCATTTGTTCTCAGATTCAAAGCAAGGAAATGAAACCTGAAGAACTAGTTTCCGATCCAAGGTTTGTTGAACTTAAACAAATACTTTTGTTTTCATGTGGAATTTTGGCCATGAAATGCGATGAACAGGTTGTGGCTCTTGTAAAGAGTTTAACAAATGAAGTCAACAAAAATGAAGGCGGTGGTGCAAAAATTGTATTGGAGGCCATCAACGAATGCAAAAGAGAAAAAAGTGATTTTCACTCGCAGTTATCGAAGTCGTTTGGAACTGGTATGAATCTGACCAATTTGGATTTGTCTGAGAATGATATTAGTGATGCGGGTGCTACATGTATTGCTGAGGCAATCAAAGTGAACAAGACTCTAACCACTTTGGATTTGTCTTTCACTGGTATTAGTGATGTGGGTGCTACATGTATTGCGGAGGCAATCAAAGTGAATAAGACGCTAACCAATTTGTATTTGTCTGAGAATCGTATTAGTGATGCGGGTGCTACATGTATTGCTGAGGCAATCAAAGTGAACAAGACGCTAACCAATTTGGATTTGTCTTTTAATGGTATTAGTGATGCGGGTGCTACATGTATTGCTGAGGCAATCAAAGTGAACAAGACGCTAACCAATTTGTATTTGCGAAGAAATGATATTAGTGATGCGGGTGCTACATGTATTGCTGAGGCAATCAAAGTGAACAAGACGCTAACCACTTTGGGTTTGTCTTTCACTGGTATTAGTGATGCGGGTGCTACATGTATTGCTGAGGCAATCAAAGTGAACAAGACGCTAACCAATTTGTATTTGCGAAGAAATGATATTAGTGATGCGGGTGCTACCTGTATTACTGAGGCAATCAAAGTGAACAAGACGCTTACCAATTTGGATTTGTCTTGGAATGGTATTAGTGATGCGGGTGCTACATGTATTGCTGAGGCAATCAAAGTGAACAAGACGCTAACCAATTTGTATTTGTCTGAGAATCGTATTAGAGATACGGGTGCTACATGTATTGCTGAGGCAATCAAAGTGAACAAGACGCTAACCAATTTGTATTTGGGAAGAAATGATATTAGTGATGCGGGTGCTACATGTATTGTTGAGGCAATCAAAGTGAACAAGACGCTAACCACTTTGGATTTGTATTTCACTGGTATTAGTGATGCGGGTGCTACATGTATTGCTGAGGCAATCAAAGTGAACAAGACACTAACCAAGTTGTGTTTGTCTTTCACTGGTATTAGTGATGCGGGTGCTATATGTATTGCTGAGGCAATCAAAGTGAACAAGACACTAACCAAGTTGTATTTGCGAAGAAATGATATTAGTGATGCGGGTGCTACATGTATTGCTGAGGCAATCAAAGTGAATAAGACGCTTACCAAGTTTGATTTGTCTTAGAATGGTATGTCTTGCTGAGGCAGGGTTTAAACAACTCTGAAGTAGAAGGGCACTGCCTTTAAAGTAGGCAAGTACCTTTGAAAATTGAGGGCCGAAGGACCGAACCTCTAGGGGGGTCCGGGGGTATGCTCCCCCGGGAAATTTTTAAAATATAAGTCTCCCAGAAACGCATTTTCCTGCATTCTGGAAAAGAAATCTTCTTGTAATGATGCATACTTAATCTATTATAATAAAAAAGAATGGTACTCTGGGAGAATTTGTTTATTTCACTGTTGTTTTCGGAGCCTCTTTTTATCCTACAGTTACAAGTTTAAGGCCCATTTCCAAACTTGATGCAACTCGCGCCGCGACCCAATTTCCTGTAACACGAAATTCCCAGATCACTGAAAACCTTCTAAGATCGTCTTTCTCAAGAGCCATCCTGAACATATAGTCAACAGTTTCACGGTAAATACATTCGGCGTTCGTTATTTCACTGTTTTCTTATAGTATTTTGAATTTTTTCTTGAAGAATCCGAAGAAAAATTTTTTTAAATGTCACGCTTGGAGCTCTTTGTACTCTGTGAAGAGTCGGCGAAAAGGACAATATTCAAATTTTTTCACTTTCTAGAAGTGCTTGAGGATTCTAAATGAAGACAAAATACTTCCGATAGAAACTGGTATTTTTCAAAGAGAAATATGGAAAAAATATCAGACTGCCGGACGTTTAGTTATTTGAAGACTGTCCGGTAGTGTCTGGTGAAAATTTTCTTAGTGTCACGCTTGGATCTCTTCGCACTCTGTGTACAAGGTCAGCGAAACGGAGAACGTTGGCATTTTTTCACTTTTTAGAAGCGCTTGAGGATTGTAAATGAAGGTAGAATATTTTCCAATGAAAAATTAGTATATTTCAAAGAGAAATATGGAGTTGTTTGAGGACCGTGTCCAGCCGTGTCATTGAAATTTTAAGCGCTTGGATGGCTTCGTACTCTGTATACAGGGTTAGCGAGAAACATCACGTTCGAAATTTTAGGCTGCCTGGAGGCGCTTGAGGATTGTACATAAAGGTAGAACATTTTCATATAAATATTTTTTGGATTTCGAAGAGAAATATGGAAAAATATCGCACTGCTGGACGTTGAATTATCAGCGACACTGACAGTTTGCGTTACAATTCTTAGTTGCTGCTTTGCATGGACAACAACCCCGACCACTCTTTCGAGCGCAAGTTCCTCTCCACGGGCAGGAAACTTCAACTGACCCTTGGTCCTATTTAACAGGGATGGCAAACTTCAATTAAAAAAAATTGATGAATGAATGAAAACGTGGTGGATCAACATTTTCACCTTCTTCGAAATGCTCGCAAGGATTTTCGCGTTTCTCTTTAGCAACAACCGATCCATTAGCGTTTACTGCCTCGGAATCTACTAAATCAATAGATTCATCCAATTCCATACCGGATTAAAACGTATAGAACTGTTTTAAACAGAATTATTTTGATAAGGTCTTCAAATTCATCGGAGAAAAGGCAGAAGGTATTTGAAACGTGACCAGGTAGAAATAACTGACCAATCAGAGGCGCTATTTAAACAAAAGCGGTGGTTCAAAACGAAAACAAACGACCGCGTTGGCTCAAGGTTGGAAATGGGCCTTTAACTTCAGCTTATAAAGGGATAAAGTGTGAAACTGACACTTTTTGCACTTTATGAAAACTCAAAGTCAGAGCCGCAATTAGAATCTTCGGCATCCAAATCTGGCAGCTCCAAGGCTTTGGAGATTTCCTCTACCTCTTCCTCAACAGAATAGAATAACTGGGCGTCATCATCAGTTGCCTGTACACCAACATCATGTACAATTATCACTGGAACATCCTCATTTGCAGATCCTGGACCTGGTGGTGGTGCTGTGTTGAAAACCTTTGGAGGGCGCATGCGACGAGGTTTAGCTGCTAACGAGGACGAAACAGTCGAATTAAGAACAAGTCTCAGTAAGAATCAAACATCTTGGAGAATGAAAGTTTTCAACCCCCCTTCAAATTTTGCATGCAGTTAGGCGCTCAGGGGGATGCACAAAAATACCCTTTAAAAGGTTGTAGCACTCTTGTTGCCATGGTAACAACGGCTGCTTGTTCGAGGCCTAGGGCCTCGTTTTCACACAGAAACGCCGCAAAAAAAGAGTGCAATTTTTATTTTTCTATCTCAAGCTAAATAAAACATTACAAATTGGCACTTCTATCATACATAGTAACATCATTCGTCTCTACATTGATTCATTCAATTTTCCCTGGGAGTGAATGTGAACACACCAATAGATTATTCATCTCGGTACAGTTTCGGTCATTTTTGTTGTCGGGTAAAACAGGGAAAACGTTTATCTGAATTTCTCCAAAAGTGCGCCGATTCTGCAACTGAAACTACCCACCTAGCTGGTTATAATATTCTTGTTATTAAATATGTAAAAATCTCTGCGGGCCTGCCTCTACTTTTTATGGGGGAAATTCGCGAACGAAGCTCAAAATCAGATATTGCATAATTTGGCGATGTTTACATCTAATGTTCTCAACAATAAATGTTTCAGAAAAATGAAACATTCCATGCTTTGAAAGAATGTTATCTTATGAGCAGTATCACGTAGAGAAATCTCACCTCTAGTAGTCATCTTTAAAAAAAAAATTGATCAACCTTCATGGAGGACTACTCGACGTAACAACAAACATATACCTCAAATCGTGTGCATATCATCCAGATTCCGAATGCTGCACCTTCTTTTATGGGAATTTGAGCGATCTGAAGTCCTCTGAAGATACACTGTTATACTTGTATGTCATTTAAAACATGTTGAAGTCGGCTGATCTACACGAAACTATCCTCACACCGTCATTTGTCATTAACATGTACGTTGTCACGGTGGCGTGAATCCGTATTTCTCCATGAAGTTTCCATCGGTCGCCCCATAGAAGACGAGAACTGGACATTTTTCGATATATCAGCAGATTTCCGCGCATTCTAGGTGAAAACAACCAAAAAGAAGAAGAAAACCACGATTGAACGCTCGTAAACATTGAGAGGGCAAAAATCGCAACTTGTCAGCGGCAGCACTACATATAAAACCCAGTCGCCACAATAGCAATTTGTACGACTCGCACGAAAATCATCACCAAGTGGAGATTTTGAACTACTCAGTATCCCTGCAGTACAGGAAACGGAACAGGGATTTCATCACAATCAATTTCCAAAAATTTAGCTTTTTTCAGGGAGTCTTTCACGTGCTCGAACGTTATATTGGCTTTGAGCCTTGAGATTTATTTTCCTTGACAATAAAATGCTATAGAAAGTGCTTACAAAATTACAAAGGAACTATTTTTAGTGTCAGTTGGACCGAGAAATACAGATTTGAAATAATTAATGCTGTCCCTGATGAACCAAAGGGCACAATCTTCTTAAATATTAGCTTGATAATCTCTACAGACCAACGTTATTGGACCGAACGATCTCCTGTTTCTTCCTGGTGAGCCGGCCACCTCAGGGGAAAATTAAAGAGACCTTTGACTCTTCTTTTTCCTGAAGGACATGAAGCTATCCAGATTACATATTAACCGTGGGAAAATTCGTTCAAGTGACAAGTTGCGATTTGCGTGTGGATAATAAGTTGTTTGGAAGGTGGAATTATGACATTATGATTCCATTAAATCTTTTATTTCGAACTTTGTTATGGAAGGAAATACCGATTGACTCGATTGCACTGCGGCGGTGATAAGTCTCTCCTCATCATATCTTAGGCAAATTTTCTAACAGTTTTCCGACAGTTTTCAGATGATTCGAAATATCTTAGTTCCTGTCACAAGGAAGTGATAACTGCCCGAATCTGCTCTTTGAAAGGAGATGCCCATGTCGTTCAAATTGCGATTGCAACTGGGATTTTACATGTGGTACTGCCGCGGACAGTTACGATTTATATTCTCAGATTCTCAGTGTTTACTAGCGTTCATTTGAAGTTTTCCTCTTTTTTTTCTTTTTTTTTTTTTTTTTTGGGTTGTTTTGTTTTTACTTCAGAAAGCGGAAATCTGCTAAAATATATGAAAAATATCTATTTCTCGTCTTCTTTGGAGCGACCGATAGAAACTTCACGGAGAAATACAGCATCGTGATAACGTACATGTTTATGACAAATGACCGGTGTGAGGATAGTTTCGTGTAGATTCGCCGACTTCAACATGTTTTAAATGACATACAAGTAGAACAGTGCACCCTTAGAGGCCTTCGGATTGCTCAAATTCCCATGAAAGAAGGTGCAGCATTCTGGACTAGTGCAGCACTATCTGCACGATATGCACACGATTTGAGGTATATGTTTGTAGTTATGTCGAGTTGTCCGCCATGAAGCTTGATCAATTTTTTTTTTGATGACAAGATTTTTTTTTTGAGGCAAGATTTCAATACGACTCCAACCAATTTGAATTTGTATGACAATCATATTAGTGATGCCGGTGCTACATCTATTGCTAAAGCAATCAGAGTCAACAAGACGCTAACCAATTTAAGTTTGTCTCGCAATCGTATTAGTGATGCCGGTGCTACATCTATTGCTGAGGCAATCAAAGTCAATAAGACGCTAACTAATTTGAATTTGTCTCAGAATCGTATTAATGCTGCCGGTGCTACATCGATCGCTAAGACAATCAAAGTCAACAAGACGCTAACCAATTTGAATTTGTCTGTCAATCTTCTTAGTGATGCCGGTGCTACATCTATTGCTGAGGCAATCAAGGTCAACAAGACGTTAACTAATTTGAATTTGTTTAACAGTGGTGTTAGTGATACCGGTGCTACATCTATTGTTGAGGCAATCAAGGTCAACAAGACGCTAACTAGTTTGAATTTGTCTCGTAATCGTATTAGTGATACCAGTGCTACATCTACTGCTGAGGCCATCAAAGTCAACAAGACACTTACTAATTTGGAGCTTGTTCGGCAAAGATATTGCCGGTGCTGCATTTGTTGCTGGGCCAATCTAAGTTAGCAGGAAGCTAACCAATTGGCATTTGTCTTAGAATAGTATTAGTGATGCCGATGCTCCTTTTTATGCCGAGGCAATCAAAGTCAGCAAGACTCTGACCAATTGATTGAAGTGATTGTACTTTTCCTTTTGTACTTTTCCTTTTAAGTAACGTTTTTTAAATTTTCCCTTTGGAGATGCAGGAAGGAGCTTTTTTAATTGTCTTTAGTTGCTCTTTGATTAGATTACATTCAAGTTATAATAGCTACCTTTGTGATGTTTTTTTCGTTTAAGGTGATGCTTATGCTTCTGAGGTATTTACATTAGACGAAAAGAAGTGTAAAACGCCATTGTTTTTAGAGTTTTGTTATGAAAGGAATATCATAAGCATGTATCATCCACGAGCAGCAATATTTTTTCCATTCTTTATATTCCTCGAGCGCCTCTCTTTCAATATAAACCAAAGCAAAAAAAAGTTTTCAGGCATTGTTTTTTTATTTCTGTTTCGATCTGCACAGCCACTAAATGAAATTTGACCACTGGGAGGTTCTTAAAGGGGAGGTGTGCGGGGAAAGGGGATGGGTGGGGACACAACAGGGGAGAGGTAAACAAAGTCTGCTGGGGATAACTCTTAAAGGGTAATGTATTGCCAGCGGACGCTTGTCTCCACACAGGTCTGGGGCCTAATTACGAGTTAGTAGATGTGCGATTCGGCAGGCGAGGACGCATAGCCCCAGGAATGAAGGGATGATTGTCGGTTTCCCATACAGGAAGATCTGGATTTGTACCAATTATAGATTCTTTGCTACAGAGACTGGCAGTTAGAGCTTGGTCAACAGATTGTAACCAAATCGTTTGAACAAATTTTATAAAGGAACTCTCTGAAAGATGGAGCTGATAAAGTCTTCACTTTCATCAGAAATAAAGACAACGGATTTGAAACGTTAACCGACATCCTCGAAGTCATATAAAATACTTTAAAAAAATTAATAGATTCTAAAATAGAACAGGACCCAGTTGTTCAAAGGGCGGATAACGCTATCCAAGGAATACATCGCTATCCAGTGGATGTGTTAACAAAGAATACTGCACCATCTATCGGATGGAGATTTATGCAGTGGTTATCGTTATCGAACAATGAGGACCAGGTGGACGACTGTTAGTTAGTGGAGTGATCTAAACAACGGGTAGTATTTACAGTTAACGATTTGGAGCACAACTCAGTAAGTGTTTTTTTTCGTTGGGTTTTTAATTTCTAACAGCAAAAACATGTAAAGGAAACGAAACATCGAAAAATCTTAATGTTTCCTCAACAAAGCCATAATAGTGGGATTGGGAAGGACAGGAAATTGACTGCTGCTAAAGCAACGCTGCTGTGCTCCCTCACTTCCCGTACAACCCCTCCCCTCTCACCCCTCATCCATTCCTTATCCTACAAGAGCCATGATCCCTCCGTTAATTGCCTGACCACACGGGCTGTAAGGGTAGGAAAACTTGAAAACTCCAACAGTAAGTTTAATAAGAGCTTGGCGGAAGAAACAGAAAAGTAGTTTTCCTGGCTTTTCATTTTCATTTTCCGGGAAAAAACAATCTAGATTGCAAAATTAAAGTGAAAAGCAAGCCAACTGTCATTAACGCCTTGAACAACTGGAAGTCAAGATACTTTTTTATCGTCACACAACAAATTAGCAAACGTAAATATCATTCTTCTTGATGCCTCTCCCGGTGTCACCGATTTCTTTTCCCGATGCCTCCGTTAATTAACATAGCGGTAAAAAATATTTTTACAGTCAAAGCGTTTGGAAAATTCCTTAACTTTTTAATTAGCGAAGTATAACTTAGTGACACTAAGGCTTTACGACACGATTCTTTTCCGCAACTACAAATGATTTGTCTCCATATGAATAGTTAAAACTTGTTTCTCCGCTAACCACTCACATGTCGGACGGTTTTTCTTTCCCAGCTCGTCGCCCGTGACATATGAGTAAATGGGTGAACTTTATTTAAAACAGGATGGCCACAGCTACGAGGCTGTTGTCCAGAGGGGCCCTGTATCCACCTAAAATCATTACGATATAATCAATTACGATAAACACTCGTGGTTTAAAAACTTATGGTCTCAGAAAAACTGAAAAAATTAAAAGTTCGGACAAATCAAGGAATTTGAAGAGCAATAATTCGCTTGTTCATGCAATGCACAGTTAAGTAGACATGTGTCACAACAAGGTGAACAATATAGAAAACGCTTGCAGTATCGGCACTTTTCCTTCGTTTGTTTTGGTAGCCATTTTGGAAATGTAGCCAGGCATCTTTATGTTATGTAGCTCATATGTGATCTATTATAGAATAGTGTATACGCAAATACGTTGGTAATAAAAAGAGCCGTCCACTGTTTACAACGCTGGAAAGTATTGTTGGACGATTACCGCTTGCTGACAAGGCTCTCCAATTGATTTATTTTTGAACCTGGTTTATATTTCCGGGTTATATTTCCTTAAGATTATGCCCGAAGAGAGATTATTTAGTGCAACATAATCTACACCATCTTTTCTTCTTACCGATCGCGCCATGTTTTTGCAACCTAACACCTTCGAGCATACTCACTGTCACTGCTCTCCATATTTAAGAATACGGTCGACTTTCACGGGTATCCTTCGCGAAAAAAAGATACTGTTAACGCCTAGTTACAGCGTAACCACCATAAACTATGTATCAGTGGCAAAGTTATGAAACCTAACACCTTCGAGCATACTCACTGTCACTGCTCTTCATATTTAAGAATAAGGCCGACTTTCACGGGTATCCTTCGCGAAAAAAAGATACTGTTAAAGCCCAGTTACAGCGTAATCACCATAAACTATGTATCAGTGGCAAAGTTATGAAATGCGCTATCTGGGAAAAAACTATTTTCTTTTACCTTGATCTAATCGTAAACCGACTGAGGTGCAAAAATTCCAATTAAACGATGTTTCTTTGAGAAAATCGGGTATCGACACTGACCGCACATGTAAATTTCTGCACAATTCCAATACTGAGGGGTTTGGGGATTTTTCGATATCGTTATTTGTTGCTTTGCAATTTTCCAGCCCAGTTTGTTTATCAAAATTTTACTGATTTCGGAATTCCTTCACACAGATTTTTTATAGTTTGATATCTTGGGAATATTTTGACCAAATTTCAGGGCAATTCGTGCCTTATTAATTTCTTCAAAGAAGGTACGTTTGCAGAAAAATGAGATAGGTTTTTTGCATCCAAAGTTTTAGAGGGGTAACCACATGTGGTTAGATGTCAGTATCTGTGCAAATGCATACCTACCCTTCCCCTAAGAGAACGTTGACCATAACTTGTCCTCAGTTGACTGTTGTTGGGTCGTTGGAGGGGTAGGTGCTCAGTTGTTCACATAATTTCCTGATTATACCCAAGCAATAATAATGTAAGCAGCAGAAATAGAACCAGTGCTTGTCAAATAATATGGTTCTCGATTATACTAAAAAAAAAAAAAAAGAATAACTGACTAATGAAATTATACGTAGCTCTCGCTCACCTTCGTCCCTAGCGGCACAACACAACGTCAGTCGTGTCTGCCTAATTTTAACTACAGTTCGTCGAATACGTGATAGTGAAAAAGTTTTTACTACTGGCTGGAGGTACAGCTGGCATATTTTGTCGACTTCGCCCATATTACTTTTCCGCATTCTAAACGAGTCGTGCACTCCTTGGAATTACTATTTTCGTGAATAAATTTGCATTTTCTCTTTATTTATTTAGTCTTGTACCTCTAGCTGGTAGGAATTAGAAATCAGTTCAAGAAAACAATTTTGCCATGCAATCATCACTTAGTAGAAAACAAGGTAGTTATTACTCCTTGGAAAGCAGAAATGTAAGTCTTCTGTGTCCTCTACTTCATTCTATTTGTACAAACAAACACACCCTGCACAACTATTTTCCCAGCTTTGGTCTTATTATTTTTTTTTTTTAATTTTTCAACTATTTACTTTCTCGCGTCAGGGCAGGCTAAGGTCACAGAAAACTGGCTTCTACAGGCTCATGGAATAACATATCTTCAAACATTACAATCACGTGTTTGTTACCTAAGCATTTTTTTCTTCGCTGCTTATCAGCTGCATACCTGTCAGTGCCCTGATTAAAATCATTCCCCTGTTTTCCAGTGATAACAAAAGGAACTTAATCATATGTGATCCTTGGTGGAGACTTTGCAGTCTGGGGATCATGAAAAAATACTTTTTTCCCTTCTATTTCCACATTCTTTATGGCAAATCAATGAGGCATTCAAGAGACATTCATTCATTCCGTCATTCATTTATCAATTTTGTCTGGTAGTCAATCAGTCAGTTAGTTAATAATATAAGTCTGTGCGAGAGGCATGTGCTGTAGGTATTGACTTTTGGGTCATATCTGAAAAAGGGTATTGAAAACCATATACAAACCCCTCCTTTTTCAGGTTAGCCACCACATTTTAGCTATTGAAGTTCTGCAGTGGTTTTAGTTTTTATTCCTTTCTATCTTTTCCAATTTTTGCAAAAAAACAAAAGAAAAAAAAACAAGGTAAGTGAATTACGCACATGTGTTGGAAACTGTACGATGCGTTAATTATTCTTAATTTAAGTCACATTTGTAAGAGATTTCCTATATCTATACATAACTAAACAGACATGTATGCAGCACGTGTTTTATCGCGCCATATATGGCACTGTTCCAAAGCGTTGTCGTAAGATCGTTAAATCAAGTGAATAAACAGTGACTTAATAAGGAAGCGTGGTACAGCTTTTTCACGTTTTTGACACACCTGTCTTTCAAAAATCAAAATAAAGAGTAGATTTAATTTGCAATTTTTATGGAATGTTTTTGGATCCCTTGGTCTCCCCATGACCACTACACCCCTGCATCCCTCCATTTAACATTCCCCCTCGTAACCAGAGTTCATTTAAGGCGCCCCTCTGACTTTAGACTTACCTTTGCCAACACCGTAGCAGTAATCCATAACAAAGCTAGTTGTTG